TGCATGCCTGAGTAAGAAGAGTGTGGTTTGGCTGTGAGGAGGAAAAGAAGGCACCCAAAGGCATGAAAAAGAAAGGGGAGACTTGGACTTGCATGAAGGGGCGGTGTGTTGACCCCATCGGGACGGGCGTATGCCATTGTCATGTTTMCTTGGATKTGTTGCAGGTAAGTGGYTYGGATGATCCGGCAATGAGGGGATAGTGCGGCAGGGGACCGTGATGAGGAGAAGGGGGTTTGAATCTTGAACGGCTGGGGCGGACTTTGGGTTTTGATGATTGCATGACTAACGCGACCTGAAAGGACTAAGGGTCGGAGCTAGGTTTTGAACTTGACTTTGCCGAGATGCGTGGTTGAGGTKGTGTTGCGAGCTTGGTAGRMCYGCYTGGAAGGACTAAGGGCGGTCACGAGACCTGGGGAGATGCGTGCGTAGGCCGACTAGAGGAAAGATAGGGGCTAGGGGCAAAAGGATGACCCGCCCCGATGATGCTATAGGAAACTAGGGCCATTAGTGAAGAAGTGTGTGGCCTGAGGAGAACGCTTAGCCTACGCACTGTAAAGAAGAGGAAGCTCTCAATGAACCCCCCCCCTGGACTGCCTGAGTATTGGAAGGAGCAATTGTCTGGTAAGACAAACAAAGAATCGAAAAACCTTACGCTTGCGGACCTATACCAGTGAGGCTACCACCCGGCTAGAGGGCTGAGCTACATCCCCAATGTTAAGCTCTCTCGCCCTTTTGGCCCAACCCCATCCATCTCATAGCACTAGGTGGGGGTGCCCCTGGGACGAACGACCCGCGCCCTGAGAGTGAGTGTGGGCGGGTCGAGCCAAGTGGGACCCGTAGTGGGGTCAACCAAGGCTCGAAAGTCCTTCAGGGTAAGGCCCCGACAAAATGGTGGAGGTGCCGGGTATGGGTTAAACTGACCCATACGATTCCGAGGGGGGCGCCCAACACATACGTAAAGACAATTGAAGATAAGGAAAGATGACTTGTGTATGCATCTTCCCCACATGAGCGGAAGCAGACTTGAGGGCGGCTGGGCGCATGGCAAGGCCAGGCCTGGAGGAATAACATGCATGCTCACACACCGGTTCATCCATCCCTCCTGGGGATGACTCTAGTCCTCCTCTCTCTGGGATGATGTTCGTCAGTCCGGGGGAGCCTTGGGCAAGCTGCAGGTCGACCCCTCCTCTTCGTGTGAAAGAGGGGCTCCGGTTACCTGGCAGGCGGTTGGGATTCCAGGCCAGTCCGGGTCCCGATGAAAGTCCCGCGGCGGAGCGATCCGACCGTTGGGCGCCTTCTCCCTTCTTCACGAAGCCGCTAGGTTCCATGCATTCGCACCGAATGCTTGAATAAACCTCATATGCATAAAGGAGGCCATCAAGAAGGAACAATCCTACCCTATGAGCGGACAGACTAACAAAGATAAAGGGAAAGAAGGGAGTTGCTAGACTCCAAAGAAAACTAGCTCCCCCGATAAGATGCTCATGAGAAGGAACCGGGCACAATGTATGGAAGTTAAGGGTGAGATGCACTCATTGTCCTGAGAGAAAAGCGTAAGGTGTGGGTAGGCCGTTGGGAGCACCTTGGGATGAGCACCCGTACTATGTGTGTCCCACTTGGGACTTGTGGCTGCATGATGGGGGTTCGAGCGTCCTGCCATTCGAAAGGAAAGGATTGCTTTGCGCCGGCCGGTGAGGGATGTGAATTGGTCGTCCTCTTTGAAGTTCACCGGGTTCCGTGTGTGGGGGTCGGGCCACCGGACTGTCGGGCAAGGGTTGGTCTTGTCGGCTGATTAGTAGCATTCTCACCCGAGCGGTCTGAGCATGGCTCGATGACCTTGCCCAGGCGGGATGTGAAACCTCTTCAGGCGGGGCGGCTGCTTGTCGGCGGACGGCAGGGGGACCACTGCATGTGGAGCAAGGAAGGAGCCTCGGAGGCGATTAAAAACTTCTCGTAGCATGGCTTGGGAAAAGTTGTTCCTTATCGAGCCGATGGAAGTGAATGCCTGGACGGCTGGCTCCAATGGTCGTACCGAGATGTGCGGGGTGATTCCCGAGATTAACGGTGGGTACACGAGCGGCAAGTCGGGATGGGGTATTCTGGGTAAGGAGGAAAGGGCGAATGCCTTGCCGAGACCTGGGTACCGCGCTCGCGACGGTTGAGCTGTGCTGGAGGTATGGGTTGAAAACCCTGCCGATAGTAACAGTGGAGAGACCATTTCTGGGAAAAAGGTCGGTGAGGAGATGACCGACCTGTGTGCGACGTTTGCCTGGTTTTGTTTTTTGTGCCTCCCTCTGTAAAGTTGCCTGATGGATGTTGGAAGGGGACCGAGCTTCTAAGTCTATTCTCGCCTCCAAGTCTAAGTCCGCACGAGTGAGAGAACATGAGGAAAAGGTTGGATAGGAGTCGGAAGAAAGTGGAACCAAGAAAAAGGAATGCAAGCCACTGGTGATCGATGGGGGCGGACTGGTTAGGGATGTGGCGCTGGCTGATACGCTTGGAGGATGGGTAGAGGACTTTAGGGAGACCTTGATGAGGGGTCTCTAAAACAACGCTCATCTAGGATAATGGTGGACCTAACCCGAGGGCCGATTGGTGCGCTCATTGGACGAAACATGTCTTGGCCACCGGTATAAAGAAGGCAGGATGGCGCAGTGGCTGGCGTCACCGACCTACTCACATGGACCAGAGATGCCAATAGATATGAAGGGTGGGGTATCAGTCGTAATGCTAGAGGAAGGAACGTGGGCGGACCTGGAGCCGGCCTATCAAACCGTAAGGCTGGCCGAAAGTGATGCCTTCCTACGGATTGAAACGATGTGGACTAAGGTAACCTTGACCAGGATAACGTCGTGCCTGTTGGACTTAGAGTTCCGGGGGACCGTGGAAGCCCGGGGATGGATCTACCTGTCAAAGGAGAGGGAGACTGCGATGGTTGTCGAACTCGCCTTGGGGAAACTTCCGTACAAACTGTTCAAGGAGGCCGAGTTGTAAGTGGTGTGGGCCGCGTGCCAGCGAGTGGAAATGACGATGGAATCGATTGATGTGCGGGTAGAACTTGGGGATAGGGAAAACGTGCGGAAGCCGTACAGGGCCCTAAGGTGTGTCATGCCGCCCTTCATGGTAGATGTCGTCTTTGGAACCGGGAGTAGGTTGGTGCGAATATGCAGGGCCATGGTGGGGTTGGGGTTGCACCAAGGAGCCCGCCAGGATTTCTTCCGGCTGTCGGTCGAAATGGGACCCTTCGAGGGAAACTGGGCAAGGGAACTGACTGAGATTTTAAACCATCTTAGCACAGACGGCCTGTTCGTCCCAAGCAACATGCACTGGCGGATAGTTTACAGGAACGTTGCGGTAGGGGAAATCTTTCCGGAGGGTGTACGGGACCTGTGGCCCGAAGAGAATGAAGATGACTCCGAGGAGGAGGACGAGATGGAAATCGAGGAATGGGATTTCTAGGGAAAAGGGGGGCTGAAGACGGAATGGTTGGGTCGCGTGGGGGTGTGCAGGGAATCAAGGATGGCAGGGGATCAGAGCTTGTGGGCGCGGATGTTTAGAGGATGGACACCTAGGAGGGTTGAGGGCGGGGTAGAGATGGTCTTGCCAACAAGGAACGAGTGGCGCGGCGCGGCCTGCGACTGGGTGGGAGTAGAGATGGTACCGACTATGTCCTTTTTGTGGRTAGAACGGGTGTGGGATCCGGTTCGAGAAAATGAGGCGTGGGATGAAATAGCCGAGGGGAACATGGAAGCACTTGGGACGGTGTGCCTTTCGAAGAATGGGTGGTATATGTTTTGCACGCACCTAGCGGCGGGACGAAACCCGATGTGGATTTTAGAGGATGTCGGGCGGTTAACTTGGGAAATGGGGCAGGATTTTGCAAACGAGGGATGGGATGAAGTGGGAAGTAGGGTCGTGATGGGGGGATGGGAGGACCTTAGGCTCCCCTACCAGTTAGTCCAGGTGAGGGTGCCGCATTTTGTTGCGGACTGGTTCGGAGGGTACGAACATGTTCGCGCCGTAGCGGAGTCCATGGACGAGGTAGAGATAGGCTTCGCCTGGCTGTCGGACGCTTATTACGAAGCGTCGTTGCGATTCGGGCCGTTTCATGGGGACCGGGCTAAGGAAGTGGTCGAAATCCTGAAGGAACTTAAGGACTATCGACTAGAGGTTGGAGAGGAAGTCGAGGAGGCGATACTCCGTCGAGAAATAGCCGTTGCGCCCTCGTATGTAGGGGACGTCTTCTTGCTGTTTGAGGTCCTATGGATTTGAGTGTGGACCTGGGAAGACAGGGGGATAGGGGGATTGACTGGGAAAAGAAAGGGCATTGTACATTAAAAGTAGGGGTAATGTACACAAGGGGGAAACAGAAATAGAGAGGGGGGGGGCTAGGGTAACTAGGAGATAGGGGGAAAAGACGAGAACTAAGGGGACTTGGCTAACGTGGTGCATGCAGAAATCAAGAGCGAGGAGCGGGAGCAGGTAACAAGAAAATGGCTTGGCGGATGACGCTTTGGGAAACTCGGCCGCGAGGGATCTTGCCGCCGCGTTTCTTGGATAGAAGGGTGGAGGTTAGCCTGCCCTCCAGGGGCGGGGTGTATAATCCGGTGATGGACTGGGTTGGGGTAGAACTGGTAGAGGACACGGTGTACCTGGTGGTGGAACTAGAATGGCGCGCAAGGGGTGAGTTTGGGGGCACCAACCTGGAGTTACCAGGACGGGTGCGCGCGACAGGGTCCCTATACTTGTCAGACGCGGGATAGCGGACCTTCGGGGTGGCCTTGGCGGATGGCGGTTACCCCGTACGGATGTTTGACGAGGCGTGGCAGGTGACCTGGAGGGAAGGGTTTGCGTTCGCCGACCCGGACCGGGATGATATAACGGCGACCGTCCGGGTGGCCGAGGTGGAAGCTAGTATCTTGCCTTACGAAAATGTGCGCATGGTCTTGCCACCCTTTTTGCTCGAGCGAATGGGAGGGGTAGAACGTGCCGAAATGGCAGCCCTGGGAAGGTTGAGTTTTAGTAACATGACCGTCTATCGAGAATACTACCGGGCCTTTCTGGAACTAGGGCCGTTCGATGAAGAACAGGAGTACGAGGTGCTAAACATTCTACAGGCCGTAGTGGGCACTAGACCCGAAATACCGACGATAACCGAGCGAGTCATGTGGGAGATAGCTAGGCGCGAGATAGGATGTGGGCTGACGTATGTGGACGACATCCGCCGGCTGTTCGAGGGGGCAGAAGAATAGGAGGGTAGAAAAGAAAAGTAAGGGGGAAGGTAGACCAGCGGGGATTGGGCTATAAAGGGGCTTGAAGAAAACTAAAAAGAGAGGTTCCTTTTCCCTTTCCCCTTTTTTTTTTGTGTGTGGTGTATGCAAGGCGATATTCGCCAACAATGGCGGCAAGACGCGTCCGTACGAACCGGCGGGACATGCACCCGCAACCACCCATGGAAACCGGGGGCGGGTGGGAAGTGTCACTCCCGGCAAGCAACAATGCCCGGGGGATAGATACGGAATGGCGGGCGGTGACCCTAGGACGGAATCAGGCCTTCATGCTAGTTGAGTGCCTATGGGGTGGCATGAGATTCGATAGGGGGCCAGGAGACGACTTATATACTGACCTTAGGGTGACAGGGACTCTATATTTCCCAGAAATCGGGTGGCAAATGTTGGGGACTGAACTGGCCTTGGGGCATGGGCTGTTACCAATGTTTCGAAGGGCAGCCAGGGTCCTGAACCGGATAGGCCATGAGGTTAGGGGAAGACGGAATGTGGGATTAAGGACGCGAGTAGAAGTAGGGGGATGGCGAGACTTTAGGGACCCTATGTCTGGACTGCGCTGCCGGGTGCCCCGGTTCATGGTTGATTTGGTTTTTGGGAGTCTCGCTCGGGCAAGGGACCTGGTGAATTCAACCGTAATCTGGGAAAGCTACTTCTCACCGCAGGCCACGGGGATGTTCTATGACGTGGCAGTAAGGCATGGGCCGTTCTGGGGAAATCGGGCGCGAGAATTGCTGGAACTCCTTGAGATCCTGATATTCGGAACGCCCCGTCTGTCGTTTGAGGAGTACGAGCCAATAATCATAAGGGAGATCGAGATGGGGGAAAACTATCTCGCAGGGGTGGCAAGACTATTTGAGGAACCGAATGAGAGGGAGAGACCGGAAGAGCCAGCGTAGGAAAGATGCCGGGAAAGATGGTAGAAATAAGAACCAAAGGGAAAGAGAAATAGGTATAAAAAGAACCGGTTGGATGGCCGCGACCAGGTCTACCATGGATTGAACACATGCCAGGAAAAGGGGGTGAGAGACGCCGTCTCAACCAAAGGTGCGGCTAACATGCCTAGGATAAGCGAAGGGAAGAGCAAAAAGGGGTGAAAAATAGGCAATTCTAAAGGCTAAGAGAATTATGTGCGATTGCCAAAAAAAAAAATCTTTCTTCCATATCACAGGGCTAGAGGAAGGAAAACATGGCCACGGGAGACGAGGCTGGAAGTCAATTGAGGGACGAAAATCAGGACGTAGAGGATGACGTAGATCAAGAAGAGCGGGACCTAGGGGATCGGGGGTCGGCAAAGTCGCTAGGAAACAGGGAGAGGAGCAAGGACGCTGTGCCCCGGGAAGATTCGGGAAAGAGCGGGGGAAGTAAACGGGGGACTCCGGGAACCAAGGAAGTCAGAGACAGGGAGAGTCCGGCACGTTAGCAGCCCGAGGGGGCGGAGCCGAAAAAGGTCAGGCTAACGGATGCACGGAGAAAGCTAGCCGAAGTAGAGAGACGCACGATAGAATACAGGGCAAAACTATTGAAAGAGATCATGAACGATGCCGAGAAAAATGCCGCTGATGACAGGACGTGGGAAGAAGGGGAACTGGACGGGCAAGGAAGCCAGGATGGGGACGCACAACACAGGAAGGATCGGCCCAGAGACACGAGGGACACCCCAACAAGGAAAGGGAAAGAAGGAATAGAATTCCTTAGGGAGGATAGGGATAGACCAGTCAATCCACCCCGACTGGACAGCGGAGCAAGCCGACCCTCGGCGTCGCCGGTAAGTGCAAGAGGATGCGAGGGACTTTGGAGCCTGAGGGAAAGGGTGCTAGGATGGTTTTACCCGGAAGGGATCGCAAAGCCAAAAGGGCAACTCGACTTTAGCAAGGAAGGCGCCGATCCGAGTTCCGCAACAGGACCTGGGATGATTGAGGGAGGGCTTAGGAAGGTGGTGTCGTCCCTCACGCGTGCTCTAAGCAAAAACCAGGGATACTTGGCCGACGCAAAGAAAAAGCTGACTTTCGATGGCGGAAACATCACCAAGTTCCTAATCGATTATGAAAACCTAGCAGCCTTACTAAGATGGACCGAGGAGGAAAAGATGGAGCACCTAGGCCAGCATGTGTCACTCAACCTAGGTAGGAACATAATGGCAATCGTCGCAATAAGCGGATCATGGAAAGAGGCCAGGGACGTGATGATGAGGAAGTATCTAGCAGACGAAAAGATGGTCACGGAGGCGGAACTGGCTACAGTGCAAAGGAAGAATTTCGCAACATACAACAACTTCCTAAGGGAGTTTACTCTCGTAGCACTACGAATCCCCGGAGTGACGGACCGAATAATGAGCAAGTACTTCCTAAAGCAGCTCACCGAGTTTGACAACGATAAGATGTTGTCCGCCTACTAGCAGACAGCAAAGTTCCTGAACACTAGAGACGTAGATTTCAACACTATAACAGTTATTGCAGAGAAGATGGTGGTGACCGACTCGTTGGCCCTGCTAAAAGAGGGAGAGATCATAGATTTGACAGGCAACACTGGAGACAAAGTCAAGAAAGGAATCGAAAGCCTACACGAGCGGGTCCACGGGGTTGACGGCAAGATAGAGAGAGTAGAGAATGCYTTACTGGTGATGCAAGCCCAGGTYTCGCARACGCAAGCAGTACGMCCCCCCCYCCCGCCACAAGAGGCAATCGTACCCCCAGGGATAGCCAACCGCGGCAATAATCGAAAGGATCCGGCCAATGAGCAGTGCAAGTACTGCACGATAGTCGGGCATTTTGTCCACATGTGTCCTAGGCTTAACCACGATATCATCCTTAAACGGTGCTTTAGAACTTTGCGCGGGGAAATCCTGGGGCCACGAGGAGAGAGGGTAAACTGGAACTTGCCGGGAGGGATGCGCAGAGCAGTAATCGCACTTAACAACCTGGACGCAGCCGCGGTTGAGGCCAAACCAGTAGAGAAACTTACCTGGGGACAGGCACCCGGGCGAGGACAGCAGGTTAACTTCATCACCGAGGGTGATGACCGCGACAGGGTTATTGTGACCACCAGACAACGGGGTGTTGCAAAGAAGGTAATTCAGGACGCGGTTATGGAAGATGCGCAGGAAGGGTCGAATCCGCCAGCAGAATCAGATCAGGACAACGTTTACGGCAAGCCTAGGGAGGGGGCGCCGGTAGACAAGTAACATCCGCAAAGAAGAAATTCAGGTACCAGATCCCTTTCCCTGCCGATTTTGAGATAGATGACACTCTTAACAAGTTGCTAGGGACCATGGTATCGGTTTCCTTCCAGACCATGTTGCCGGCTAGTACTAGACTACTAAAGGGCCTAAGACAGCTGCTAACAAGGCAAAGGGTGGAAGTAGCGGGGGAACCGGACGTACGCTGTCGGGACTGGTGGGTCCCGAATAACTTCCCATCACTCGAGAGATTGAATACGGACAATTTGTGCACAACAGAGAAATCTGGAGTGAGGAAGCAGGAGAGAGAAAAGACAAAGGATTAGGCCCCAGAAGGGAGTGATGCCCTGAGGAGAGAACCACAGGAGGAAAGAACTAGCGGCGGCAAGCAAGCGAGCGCAAGAACAGGGGCACATAGAACATAGCAAGAGGCCGGGAGGGTAATCGGAATGCAATAAGACTAAGGTCAAAGGGTCCTTTGAACTAGCAATTGCAGCGCGACAACAATAAGGGAATGAGGAAATCGAGGAATGGGCGGCCAGAAGCCGCGGGAAGCCAGGAAATGAGGGTCCAACGTGGGGGCCACCTATGGGAACCTCGGAGCAAAGGCCCGCGACCAAAGAGATCGGCACGCACAAGGCGCGAGGAAAGACTAAGGAGAGGGGTCGCTATGGGGCGACAAGACACCCAAGGGGCATGGGACACCTCGGGGAAAGGCAGCCGCGGCCACGTGGAACTAAGTAAAAATAATGGCGTCCGGGGCGAAATGTGTCAGGGACCTCCAACGGGACTAAGTGTCGGGGACCGCCGACGGGACTAAGTGTCGGGGACCGCCGACGGGACTAAGTGTCGGGGACCACCGATGGGACTAAAGTGTCAGGGACCACCAACGGGACAAGTAACGGGGACATGTGAACGTCCCAATAAGAAACGGCGGCATCGCATGAGGGGAAAATAATAAATGCAAGGTGCACCGTCAAGATCGACATCTTGACGACCAAGAATATTAGCACCAATAGTGCAAGTACTAGTGGTGACAAACGGGAAGGCCAAAAGGAAAACTAAAGAAAACTGAAGTAGGAGGCATGGGAGCAATCCGAAAAATCTCGGATCAGCCTCCCTCAAGAAAATAGAGTCAAATGAGACCCCATGTGAAAAATAGCCCTCCAGGAGAAAATCGGAGTAGGAGGGACCATTGTGGGAGAAATGTAAAAGTAAAAGGAGGCTCCTATGGGCATGGGAAAGCCATTATTGCAGTCCGAGAAATAACGGACTGCACCTTGGGCATAGGGAGGGCCAAAACTAAGAGGAAGAGGCTAGAAAAGGGCCTTAGTGGCCACTTGACACCTGACATGCTAGAAAAAAGTGAGGAAAAAAAAAAAATATGGGAGAATAAGGCAAAAAGAGTGAGAGGGAGTGAGTGAGTTGGCCGTAAGTAGGGACTGCCGGAGGTAGGGACTAACAGGTCCCTACTGTCCAAGAAAGGAGGAGAAAAACAAAAGAAAAGAAAAGAAACGAAAAGAAAAGAAAAGAAAAAAGAAAAAGGCCTTATCGGTAAAAAACGGTCAGTTGGGGAGATTCATCCGTGACCAGACTCATTATGGAATATGGCGGTTACAAAGGACTTGGATTTTCTTTGATTTTTGCAGAGAAAATCAAGGCCTCTTGCAACCGGAATAAAACAGAATACATGCATGAGGAGAAACACATGTTTTATGTGCATCTGGAGCCAAAATCAAGGCCGGATGCACTTGGGAGTTGGCCATTTCTTTTTCTTTGAGTAAGGGCTAGTTGTGGGGCATTGGGGCTAAGTAATTGACCCCCATTGCAGTCCGAGTTGCAACGGACTGCGTGGGAGAGAGAAAACACATGTTCTAGGTGCATTCGGAGCCAATATTGAGCCCGGATGCACTAGAAAATTTAATGCATCATTTTTTTTCAATATGGGGCAAGTTGTGGGGCTGTGGGTATGAAAAACAGCCATGACTACAGTCCGAGAAATTACGGACTGCATGGGGATGCCAAGGCCAAGGGAAAATGGGCTACGGCAAGCCCGGAAGGCTAGAAAGGAGCAATTTCGGCAAGGGCCAAGTAAAGACGGTAAACGGCAACCGTGAGATGAGATCTTACGGCCTAGAAAAATCAGCACACATGTAGAGATGATGGACCACCAAGGGTAAGGAGGCCCAAAAATAAAAATAGGACGCCGTCCGGAATGTTGTCGAGGACCAAATGGGTCCAAATAATAAAAATTGGAAAAACGGGACACTTGCTGGTGGGACCGCCGGCGGGACAAGGAAATGGAGCTAGCATGTAGGAAAATGGCGGGGACTTGGGATGTCCCAAGGGAACCATGAGCAAACAAAAGGAATAATTGTGCAAGCGAGCGGCACCATCGAGATCAAGGATCTAGACGGTGGAGAATATTAGCACCACTAGTGCAAGCACTAGTGGGAGCAAGTGAGGGAGCCATGGGAAAAAGAAAAGTAGAATAAGGGTGTTGGGAAGGTTGCCCGGCAGTCCGGGATATCTCGAACTAGCAAGGCATAAGAAAAGAGAGCCTTGAGAGGCCCAACATGAGAAAAAGGCTGCCCTTAGAAAATCAGAGCAAAAGGGGCTCAGGATTGTGCAAACGGGAGCACAATGGAGCCCCCTAGGAGCATGGGGGTGCCATTATTGGAATCCAAGATATAACGGCCATGTAACAGCCATGAACCTGGCCTTGAATGAGGCCCTAGGGCCTAGAAAGAGGATGCACAGCAGTTTGACACTTGTCACAACAGAAATAATAGAAAAAGAAAGAAAAATGAGAGAAAAAGAAGGGAGAATGAGACAAAAGGGGAGAAAAGAGTGGAGGAGAATGTGCCGGCCTATTGGGACCTGCACAGTACGGACTGGCAGGTCCCAACAGTGACCTCATCCCTCCTAGAATGGGGGAGGGCAATCCGGATTGCAGAGTTATGGCCCTTAGGGCCATATCACAATAAAATTTGTATTAAAAAGCTGAAAATGAGAGAAAATGCAAAAAAGAAGTGACCGGTTTCCTTTTGGACCATGGATCTGAGATCAGATCTCATGGTAGAGAGGAACTAGCCATTTTTTGTGGGCCAGCTCAAAACGGCTAGCTCCGGAATGAGGTGGCAGCCCGAAATGGAAAGAAACAAAAGAGAGAAAATGACAAAACAGTGCATTTGGTCCCAAAAAAGAGCGAGATGCACCAAAAATTGAAAAACTGGACTTAAGGGCTCAAAATTGAAGCAAGGGCTACTAGGGGGTAGCTCGGATTATTGCTGGCCTTGGATCTCAGCCAGATCCAAGGCTGAAAATGTACCGCCAAATGGGAAAATGCTCCGGCCTCCTCAAAAGAGGCCGAAACTTGAAAAAATCGAGAAAAAGGCCCACAAGGCCTTTTTCTTTCAAGTATTGCTGCCCCTTAGGCATTAGGACCCTAGGGGGCAGCATTTGAGCAATGAAAAAGAGGTCGGGGTAGGCCAAGAGGCATTCCGAGTTGGTACCAACCACTTGGACTGCATGCACTTGGCTAAAATAAGGCCCAGGTACCTCCAGGAGGGCCTAGTGAGGGAATTTTGCCTTGGGGGTACCTCGGTTCACCTCAAGGCTCATGGGGAGGCTCATGGGCTGGCCGGACTGCTGGTTTCAGCCTACATAAACTGAGGATGCAGTCCGCCACTCTCACATTTGCATGAGGAGTGCCCATGCTGCCCAAGTGAGCTCACAGGAGCACCTTTGCACTTGGAGTGAGAGGGGAGGAACCCATGCTCGTGGGAGAGCTTAGAGGAGACTAGGAGGTAGTGGAGGAGACTCTAGAGGATAGTGATGCTAGGAGAGACACTTGGAAGGTGATCCGCCATATCCCTCCTGGGTGTAGGAGAGGAGGAGAGGCTAGAAGAGCCCCATTAGCCCTCCTAGAGGGGAAGACTCCATAGTCATAGCTGGGGGAGCTTGCCATAGCCTGAGAAAAAGCGAGGGAGGAGGAAAAAAGGGCTTGGAGAAGATGGAAGCCATAGCTAAGAGAGGATTGTGCAAGAAGAGGAAGCTTCATCAAGAGGACACCAACATCAAGGAATCAACAAGGTGAGAGGAAGGAAAAAACTTCTTCTTCTTCTTCTTCTTCTTCTTCTTCTTCTTCTTCTTCTTCTTCTATCTCTTCCTCTTCTTCTCCTTCTCCTCCTTCTTCTTCCTCCTCACTCCCTCCTTCTTCCTTCTCTTCTCTCCCCTCTTCATCTCCTGCTTCCTCCTCCTTCCTCCT